GCAGGGGAACCGAAGTACTCGGAGAAAACCCGCCCCAGCGCCACTTTGTCCACCAAAAATCCCACATGACCAGCCCCGGGATCGAACCCGGGCTGCCGCAGTGGGAAGCCAGCGACAAACCACTTGAGCTATGGCGCAGCCTTAAATATAGTTTTACTATGAAGTGACATGATGACTTCATAAGCCAACACTGAATACAAATCACAATTTTCTTCATGGGACGCCATCCAGCTCACTGTTTGGATATTCTCTTTCCACATAACTGGGTGATGATTTGAACTTATCATTTAGTAATGTATCTAAATCTTTCAACAGGACAGAAATAGTTCAAGATCACAACAAATGACCATGTTAGCTGAAGGTATGGATGCAGAAATTTTATCTGAGTCAAATGCATCTGTGCAGAGAACTTTGGCAATAATCAAACCAGAAGCTTTACCATATGCTGATGAAATAGAAGAAAAGATTAAAGAAGATGGCTACACCATTGCTCAGGTACAGAGGCCATAATACAGAAGTTCTACGACTATAATTTTCTGTATGTACAAAACAAAAACAAACTCTGTGGTTTTCAGAGGAATATGTCACCTGTCACAGAATGTTTGCAAAGACTGTCAAAAATACAGTTAAGGAAAATTCTTAAAACTAACACCTTTCCTGGAATTCTTTTAACACAAATAATTTTCAGAGATTGTAGACTGAAACAATCACTGACAATCTCCAAATATTAAACAGAAAAAAAAATGATGAAATGTGGTATGGAAATATAAAACTATATTATATGAAAGTTGAAGCATTTTATCAGTTACTGTTCTACTTCAAGTGATGATGCATAACCTCTGCAAATGAGGCTAGGCCTCATGTGGCGATGAAGATAACATCTCACTGTTAGTCTCTGATCAAACCTCCAGCAAGCAGTTTCCATCTCATCACATTGTCAACTGAACCATAAAAAAAAAAAAATATAGTTAATTCAACATAGAGCATACAAAAGTTGTACATTACTTTTGTTCTGACAGTCTTCTTTCCTCTACCCCTGTAGAAGAGAGTAGTGACTCTGACAGGAGAGCAAGTGACTCAGTTTTACAGTGAGCAGTATGACAGCCCAGGATTTCCAAAGCTTATGGCACATATGTCTAGTGGACCAATCATTGTGCTATGCCTCTCCAAGAATAATGCTGTCGATGACTGGAATACACTGATTGGTCCCGCTAATGTATCTGAAGCCCGTCACTTATTTCCTGCTTGTCTCCGAGCCAAATATGGCGATCAGAGTGAAGATACATTTAATGGTCTTCATGGAAGTGAGAATGAAGAAACAGCTGAGAAGGAAATACGTTTCTTTTTCCCAGAAAGTAAGTTATAGGTATATCCTGGATTATCAGCTAGATAGTCCAACCCACTATCAAACTGGTAATAAGTTTCAGTCCCTTTCCTTCACAGCACCATTAAACCTGAACCCATTTATAGATACAAATAAGACTGGTTCAGCCAAGTGGGAATACATGTTGTGCCATTCTGTCAAACATAAAGAATTATGTACCACCCATTTTGTTGAAAAAGTTCACAGCATAACACTGAGGTCAGACATAAGCATGCTCAACAAAACATGACTCTACAGGGTTTAACATTGTACTATTTGTTACTACTTGTAAATAACCAGACTATGTTGTTGTTGAAGATAGTGGCTCACTTGCAAAGAACAATCCAAATTCACTGAAGGTCACATGTCAAAGTGTGAATTTTACAGGGTTTAAGCAAGACTTAATTTAGCAAGAGTTAACATATTTAGATGTGAATGTGATGAAAGGCACCACCAGATTGCATGCAGCCTTAGTGTGATTTCTGGATACATTAAAAAAAGAAGAATATCTCCTCCACTATTAGCAAATTTCTAAAATACCTACTGATTAGAATTTTATTTTGAAATGTGGGGGCTTTCAGCTGTTCAAAATTAATTACTTTTGTCTCCCATTAACAGCCTCACTAATTACACTGCTATGCAGGTTAATAATACTGTACATGGTTTTGCCCCAGTTTTGACTCTGGATTGGAAGAAATGTGATCCTCTCAGTTTAGTATCAAAACAGCTACTTCCTTGGGAGTGGGTAAGACCTTCATATCTCATATTCTGGGACAAAAAAATCCCAAATTTTTCCTGCATTAACTTCCTTTGAGAAGAAACAAAAATAAAAAAATTTGTTCACATATAACTGTTACTCCTGTACCATTTTGTTTAAAGTCATCAGAGAATATGTCAGGATATATACGCTCACACACAGGTCTTAGATGAAAGCTCTGATATTAACCAAGTTTTGGTTACCACAGCAATAAAATATCAAACATTAACTTGGTGCTTTAACATAAGGTATGTAGTAGGTCATGGGTGTGATACTAGGATCTTTTAAATTAACTTTGTTTGCTGTGAAACTGTTATAAATTTTACACTACTCTAGTAAATTAACATGGCATTCCATTGTATCATATATCATAGAAGTATGTGACAGGTTTGTTCAGTTATGAGAGAAAACAATTCCTTGATTAAATGTTCTGCAAGGATTCTTTCCTTCGGTTTGTACTCCAGAAATCTTCAGTTTTACTTCAAACAAAACTGATTCGTAGAACTGACTGAAGTTATGACCTTGAAACAACTGGCAGTTTGAGATCAATACAGGACATGTCCCACAGTAAGAAGTTGGCAAATATAAGGAATGGCATGTCACTGAAATAAACTATTGATTTAGAACACAACATGAAGGCTGAACACTATACAAGGAAGCCATATATTCATAATGTAGAGCAATCCCATTATTGTATAAAGCACATACTTAAGACACACCAGTAAAAGAATTTATATTTTCATATGATAGATACATGTCATGCATTGTATCTTATGAGTGACAGCATTGTCACAAAGAACAAATATGAAATGAAAAGGATTAACAATTTGATTTTATTAAAAAGTTGACAGGGCAAACTGTGATTTACTTCTAAACAAAATTAAAATTCAGTGTGAAATTTATCAGATTTACATTAAAGTTTCACACTGTAGCCAATTAAAATAAAAAAAAAAGTTTCATATATAATCCATCTTCAAACCAAGTTTCACAGCTTTATTTGCATAGTTCATTAGTCACTGTCAGAAGTAAAAATTACCTTACAAGTCAGCACTTTACTTTAAGTAGCAATACTGTTACTGCCATCTCATAATTTCGTACAGTCTCTGCATTTGTATTATTGAAGGTATTAAATTATGAAGTACAGAGTGGAGCGCAGAAACTTCCTTTTTTTTAAGGCGAAGAAAAATTATTGCTCATAGACAAAATTTATGTTTAGCTAATGAAAGAACATACTTTAAAGTTTTAAATCATGTAGTTTTAAACAAAATATCTTGAAGGTGGTGGCTGCCGTTTTCTATGCACTGATGCAACCGTTTTCTGAAGTTCCCCTCTGCACATTCCAACATGTGCACCAGAATTTGGGCTACTTCCTGTTGAATAACATTCTTCAGCTGAAGCAGGTTTGTGGGGCGATGTTTAGAAACCTCTGCCTTGAGGTATCCCCATAAAAAAATCACAGGGCGTTAGATCAGGTGAGTGCGCTGCCCACGGGATGTCACCATCCTGTTGGAACCAGATATTTCCTAGATGCATTTCTTCAAGAGCTGATTCAAAGATGATCTCAGAATCGACTGTCGAACTGCCTCCACATTTTCTGTCGTTGTAACGGTCCGTTGTCATCCTGATGATTTTTTCACCATACTTCCGGTTGTCCTAAAGTTCTCTACCCACAAAACAATCAATTTCCGGTCCTCTGGGCTTAATTCCAAAGCGAGGACGGAACGCACGCTGCACCCACATGTTGTTCGAAAAATAGGCTTCGACAGCAAACGCACGCTGCTCACTCGGCCCGTTCATGTTTCCTACTGAGGGGTATTAGACAGAAACTTCCGCGACTGCTGCGTTCGCCGAGCCTATCCCCACTTTTCTGTGACCTCCCCTCCCTTCACAGTGTGTCTTCACAAAAAGGAAGTTTCTGCGCCCCACTCTGTATAAAATGAGATATTCTCTAATGCCATATTCTTACCATGTTTTGTGAAAATCTGTCAGCTGAGAGTAAAGTTACAGGAAGGGAGTGGAGCATGCGCACACACAGACACACATGAGAGAGAGATATATATTATAATACCATAAACTTCCCATTTCCTTGTCAAATAATTAAGCCAAATGAATTGTGGAGAACAAAAAATTATTTTTGGTAAAAAAATTCTATGGGTGTTAAGTCCTGAAAACCTGGGTATTTCCTAAATGATATATTTAAGCAAAAAGCCATAAAAACAAACAAAATATTTCTTCTGTAAACTGTCACACAGCAAAAGAGCAGTGTTATGAGTGTTATGAGTGTCACAGGGCCTAAAATTGAGAGATGTATTACATTAAAACACCTGATTCTTCCCTTAATTTTATGAGCATCATTTTAATTCTCCAATTTAATTTCTTCTTTCATAAGGAAAAACAGACTTATGACACTGTTATATCTTTGTGCTTACATTTTACTCTTCTGACAGTCATTAATTACTATTTGTAAAATATATAATTTTCTGCTTGTTTTTTGTATCATACCTTAGTTTCTTTACCCTTCTTACTTCAACTTTTGCCTGTGCAGCTTGGACGTCACTTTCCTGAACCAAGTTCTCCCAGGGCCATCTATGTGACATATATTTCATTTCAGTGATTCTGGAACCTCTGCTGACTGGAGAAGCAGTGACAGATTACTTAGCTGAAAGTGTGAATCCTACTTTACTGGAAGGGTTGGCCCAGCTATGTAAAGTGAAACCTGCTGACCCTGTAGTGTGGCTTGCTGACTGGTTACTGATGAACAATCCTAACAAACCCAGAACAGATGAGATAATCACACCAATTCCAACATAATATAATTCTTTTCTCTCAGTAGCCTCCTATATTTGTAGTGCAGTGCATTTCATACTAAATGTAAATTGTAAATGTGAAAGAGGAAAATTTCTCCAACACTTTGAAAACTTTTAACAGAATAAAATTCAAAGCAACCATGAAACATGCATCTCATATTGTGATCTGTAAGATGTATATGGGATGACTGATAAAATGTTGGTTTTTTAAAAAGGGTTAACAGAACTTTATACTGAATGTTTCATACTAAATTATTCTGTACTTTGGACAAATCAGTTGTTTTGAGTTCTTTTTCTGCTGCATGCTCTTTCCTTTGTTGGTCATCCCATTGAACATTCACTTTTACTTGTAATGTTTATCCTTGTATATTATTGAGCTTATTGTTGCTGTTAGTAAAAAGAGATATTTTTATGTAAGCTACAGACAGAATGTTTCTTCTTATAGAACAGGTATATATGTAATATATTTTTATATGCAGCCTTGTATCAATATTGGACTACCTAGTATTTAAAACAGAAAAGTAGAATGTTTATATATCTGCAAAGTGATGGTTTTGTTTCTGCAGTTTTACATGTCCTACACTTTTTCTACAAGAATTAGAGAAGACAGTGGCCTATGTGAAAGTGCAATCTCAGCACTGAACTGGAGGAACTAAAGAAACCAAGAAAACCTAAGTCAGGACAGCACTGTGAAGTGACAACACTATCTACTGGCAAATTATGATATTGTGGAATAATAGATTATTATACCATATTTTCTAACAATGGGGCACTAAGTTTCTAAGTTTGATTCAAATAATTATGTTGTTTAAGTATTACTAAATATGGTTTGTCACGCTCTGTTCAATATTAAGAACACAAAGTTCAATATGCAACATTTTGTTATATGCACATCCACATGTGTGTTCAAACAAATAATGCATATATGTACAGTATTATGCAGTACCTGAAAGCTCTAAAGCTGGACAAATTTATGTTAATAGACATATAAAGTCTTCAGAAATACACAGACAAAAATAAATTATTATTTTGTAAAAATGTAGCTGGTAAAAGAGTATGACAGAAACTTGAAGCTCAAACACAGATCCAATGTATGTATGATGCAGGAATAGAACTGGAGAATGAAACACATTACCACACATCTGATTAAGGCACACACGTACCTTCATCACCACCACAAATTCATGTTACACTATTTTTCCATGGCTGAAGTTGGTGTTGCTGTTTTCTGAAACCAATTTAATCAAATGGAAGCTGTTAGATTAAAGCCTTGTCAAATGAATGTTATCAAATAAATAAAGGCAAAAGTGGCCAATTGCTCCAAAAGGAAATGACTGTTAATTTTAAGATCCCCCTTCCCATCGACCAGTAAGTATGCCTACAAGAAATAACAAATTTTCTACAAATATTTCCCTTGTTAAGAGAACATATAAACCAGAAAAATATATTATCTTAAGTCTTGTGAAATTCACTTTTCCAACACATCCTACATGAATTTGATAAAAATATATTTAAATACTGTAATGTATAAAGGCGGAACATAAATGATATTTGGTAAATATTAAACAACAGTTATTAAATTAATGTATATTATATGTACATAAATTAGCTTCAGAAAAACATACTACCAGTACAAGTTCCATTTTGGCTAAAATGCCACTTTCATACTAGAGATCCATAACATTCCTTGCAAAGTGGCATTAATATATACAATATAAAAGATTGAGACAGATCAAAAAAGACGTCATTTTCTGACCAAGCTTCATAATAATATTAAGATTGTGATTCCTTTGAAATTAAAAATTTGTTGACAGATCAATTTCAACTTATCTCATGACTCAACAGCAGAAACTGAGGCAGTATTCCATATTTAAGTCTTGTACCTTGAATATGGATCATTTCTTCAGACAACAGAGTTCAAAAGAAACAAAACATTTCTAAGTATCAACATGGTCCATGTACCTCCTCTCTTATGATAACTGGACTACCTTGCTGTTTTTAAGAATATAAATGAAAGACTAGACAATGCCATTATATGATCCAGGAGCACTGGAGGAGCTAATCAACCTAACAGTCCTGAATGAACTATACACGTACATCTGACTCAACAGCAAGTTAAATTTACTTACGTCAAAATTATTTTTTTAAATTAAATATAATTAAAACAATACTCTGCTGGGTGGAAGGTAAGGTAAAGCTATCCCTGTAACAGGCTGTGGAGGCCCATATCGTTGTGAGACGTCAAGCCCCTCACATTTTCTAAACAACTGGTTCACAGATGGCGGTGAGGTTGTCAAGACTTAAGCGCTGGTCACCCTTTACTCCCATGAAGACTCCTGGTATTCATTTCTGTTAAAGGCTGATTCAACCCCAATGCCTAGTGCGGCTGGAAGGATCAGGACAATTGAAGAATCTATTTACCTTATCAGGAATCTGAAACCCATGTCCTTCCAGTTTGTAACATAGTCCCTCAACCATCAACCAAGTACGCTACATCATTCCCTAACATGGAGAAGTACAATCATATCAATGGTTTTCTTGACTTCTCTACACACACAGCAATCAAAATGGTTGATGGGGAGATAAGTGCAGTTGTTAGTTACAACACACAACGTCTGTCAGGGTAAGCTATGGCTAGAGAAAATGGATATACCGCACAACTCTTACAAGTATCAATTACAATGTAACGACACTACACACACATTTAATGTAAGGAAACTTGTTTGGGCAGGTAATAAAATCAAAACTGAATAATGTAGACCAGGGACAGAAAACTTTTCCAAATTAAATTTATTGTGTTACAAACTGTTATACAAAAATAAAAAAATACTACTACTAAAAGTCATATCACTGATCTGTTGGAATGCAATTCTTCATTCCTGTTTGTATCATATGCTGTGCTAACCGAAACCATCTAAAATTATATGTCTGACATGCATACCAATACACCTCCTAACCTGAAGATGGGAAGCAATGTTCCTTGGAAATGCTGGTACCCATCCACCAGACTACAACACAGTCATAACCCAGAAGAAATATGGATCTTCACTGCTGTGGAAACCTTGAAGTTTATATAAGTACACCAATAAGTCCTCAAGGTTTGAGTGGGTTGGTTGGAAAGGGAACAGGTTTAATGGTTGAAAACATGGACATCTTTCTATATGAGACAAACTCTGTCTTAAGTGCAACAATTTAATTGTAGTGCTTTCTTCTTTCCTTCCNGGCTATAATATAAAGCTATCCCTGTAACAGGACGTGGAGACCCATATGATTGTAAGAGGTTGAGGCTCCACATCTTCTAGATTATCAGCTCACAGATGGTGGTGAGGTTGTCAGCCTTACACGCCACTCACCCTTTAACCCCAGGAAGATTCCTGGTACTCATTTCTGTTAGAGGCTGAGTCGACCCNTCTTTGTTAACCTACACACGTCAATTTGATTTCCAAAATTGGCACTTTTTAAAACTTTAATTTCAAATTAAAATGTCTTTAAATTTTCCGTTCTTTTCCCAATTTTAAAAATTAAAATTTCTCAGGGTACTCGCCCTATGTCTATAGTGCTGCAGTGGCCACTTCTTGTTTTATCGCTGTTCAGGTATTGTTGTGCATGTACCGCTGCCTGTCTTTAATACGTGTATACACATATTAAAGATAGGCAGCGGCACACGCACAGAGAGCCTACATAGAACAATACCTGAACAGCGATAAAACGAGAAGTGGCCGCTGCAGCACTATAGACATAGGGCGAGTACCCCGAGAAATTTTAATTTTTAAAATTGGGAAAAGA